AAAAAGGGCATAGTTTCAGAATAAAGTAAGGTCTTGATCTTGAATCAATTCAGCTTTTTTTTTTTAACAAAGACATATTGTCCTTATTTCTACCATTTGAATGTAGTTAAAATTCCTGTCATGAATTGACAGTAATTCGGAGCTGATGATCTACTCTCCAGACACTATTTAACCCCCTGAAAACTGGCTCTTCCCAACTTCAGAAGCTGCTCCTATAGAGACTCATTAATGGCTTTTTTTTTTTTTTTTTGTAGAGATGGGGTCTCGCTATGTACTCAGATTGGTCTTGAACTTCTGGGCTCAAGAGATCCTCCTGCCTCAGCCTCCCAAACTGCAGGGATGACAGGCATGAGCCACCATGCCCAGCCAATGGCTTTCTAATTATTAAATTCAAAGGACATTCTTCAGCCCTTCCTTGACCCCTCTGCAGTACTCTTCCAGGTCACTTTCCTATAGCAGTTATCACTCCATGTTGGGTTTTCTGTGCTTCTGTTTCTTCTTTGTCTCCTTTGCATCTTGCTCACATGCAAACAAGAGCAGCCTAGAATTAGGATTCCATATCTGGACTTCTTTTCTTGCTTTATTCTTTCCTTAAAGCTGATTCAATTTGTGTCTAAACACTTGCTACGTCAATTTCTAGTCCAGATTTCTCCCCTAAGTACCATATCCATATCTCCAGTTGCCTCTGGATATCTTTCTGTTTCACACACAGTCAAAACATGTTCAAAATGACTTTAATAATCTCATTCCATACCAAGCATACTTTTTTATTTTTGTCTCTGAATAAGAGCACCAACTACCCAAAACCGACTTTGAATCTTTACTGTTCCTTACCTTTGTCACTCAATTAGCAACCAAATCTCATTTTGTTTATAAATACTTCTCAAATCCATCTTTTTCTCACATTCCCAGTGCCTTAGTGGAGGCACCATAATTTCTGAACCATATTACTATAAAGATCTCTTGAGGTTAACAGAGAAACAATTCCTTGACACAATATTCTGCATGTGCAAATTTCTTTTTGTTTGGAAGGGGAGGAAAACAGTTTTATTTACTGAACATCTTTTAAAGATTTGACACCATAGAACTACATCCTTCAATTCTTAAAATGCTGAGAAAGGTAGCATTCACATTCACCACCCATCTTACAGGTGATAAAAGCTGAGTATCTTGCTTTATTTCACCCACCTTTTAAGAGCCAGAGATAGCCTCGTATCTCAGGTCTGAGTCCTTGCCTCCCCCACGGTCTCCATGCAAAGTATTTACACGTAAGTGCAAGTAACGAGTACAGAAAAACTTAAAGACACAGAGCAACGGAAGAAAACGCCACATTCACTGCCAAAACCTTAGGTCAAAACATGTCTGCGAACCCTTCCAGAAACAAAGCCTTCGATTTGCCATGGTTCTCACTCACCCTCCATTCCCTCACTGTTCATCTCACTCATCAACAGAGAGTTCAGACCACAGCAACAAAACACAGCCTGGCAGTGGGTTTGAGTGGACAGAGGGGGAAAGGTTCACGAGCCGCTCAACACCCTTCTCCATGTGGAAGTGACAACCAAGGACGTGAGCTGGGGCAAAACAGATGGCAGTTCCCGACAGCATAGCTCCTCTGGCCAGCTACTTAATTCTTCCAGGGGAACTGTACTC